CAACATCACCATCACCGCCACCATCATTACCATCATCGCCACTCTCATCATCACCGCCGCGATTAGCCCCACTCCTCCGTCTCCTGCTCCTCATCTCTCCATGGACACAACTATGATGAAAGACGTCGGGCACTGAGAATTAGCACGAGGAGGAAGAGGACGAACACGACGAGGAGGACGACGCCGACCACGACGACGAGTGCTGACGACGACGCCGACGGCAAACTATTTACCGGTGACCCAACTTTCGCTTTCTTGCCCCGTTCTATCGGCAAGCTGGCTGCCATTGAGCCAGCTTTTACCTTCTGAGCTCTTTCTACCAGCAGGCCGTCTACCTGTGAGCCAACTTTCGTCGTCCTCCCCTTCTCTATCGGTAACTGGACTGGACTGCACCCGACTGGACTGGTGGACTCGAACGGACTCGTCATTCATGATCGCTCTCGTCTCGGCTCAGGCAAGCTCGCGCTTCGGGCGGCTCCACGTGCGCTTAATCAGTCCAACCATGCTCCCCGAACCAAGGCCCGAGAACATCATACCGATACTGGACGAGTGCTCGTCCAGGCCCACGTGTCCCTGTTAGCCGAACGTTTGTAACATCATCGGCTCTTCCATACGGTTGGTCCTTTGCGCAATACCGACGCCGCAAATCCCCCAAAACACCGCAAGGGAAGGAAAAACAGGAGGAATGGGAAGAGCATTGACGTTGATGGAAGTGTGGGGAGGGAGAGGGTGGAGGAGGAACATGATGAGAACGATGATGACTGCAAAGGTTGCAACTGGACGGCAACTGTCACATTTGAGAGACATCTGGAATCTGGAGAAACTGCCGAAAGATTATGGCCGCCACTCGAGCTGTCTGCAATTGCGCAAGCACCACGGCACATACTTGCATAACTGCTTGGCGTTGAAGCATGGAGACGTGACATCTGACATCATGGCATGCTGCTAGAACCCGAATGCCATGCCCGCTTGTCGGAAAGAGCTGTGCCAAAGACAGCCGGACCCCACATCATTAAAACGTAGCTTCCTTTCCGGCAATTTTCTTCAGGTCCTTTAAAGGCGGCGTGGAGGGTCAGCGCTCCGTGGGGCCACCCTCATCAGGTCCTACAGCCAGTTGGTACTGGGGATGAGCTCGTAGCGAACACAGGGGCGTAGATCCCGAATGGAACCATCCTCGACGCGCTGCGCAAGCCACGACGTCCAGACAATCCCACCAACCCTCTGGGCGTTGGTGGTTTGACGAATTTTGTCTTCTCTTCCCCTCCTTCCCCTGCTCGGGGGAGGGGCCAACCCCTCCCTCTGCCTCCTCCCCTGGGCCTGGGAGTGGGGGGGACCGGTTAGTTCGAGTTTCAAAATGTGCCCAATATGACTCCAAGAGGGCCCTCGGCAGCCCATGCCAGCCTCCAAGATGGCTCAATCTATTCGGAGGTGGTTCAGTACTGCCTCCTACATACCTCCAAAAGGCCCCAAGACAGCCCCAAGACGGTTCCACGTGCCCTTCGAGCCTTCCTAGACACCCTCCCAAAGGCCAACATCCTTCAACAACCCGAGGGAGGGAAATCAATGTTTTTGCCTTCTCGCTTTTTCGCTTCGGATGGGCTTTTGAGGCCTCAAGATGGCCCCAAGATGGCACAAGAGAGCCCCGAGAGGGGGTCAAGTGACGCCCAAGAGCGGCCCCAGAAGGCCCCAATACGCCATTTTTGAATCTCCGAGGGAAGGGCCCGAATTGCCCCCCGCCCCCACACGCACGTCCCCCCTCGTCTCGAGCCGTGGAGGCCAAATGGCCTCCCAGACTCTCTGAGCACAAGGAGGGTCCCAAGACCCCCAAAACGACCCCAAGAGTGCCCCAAATGGCCCCACAGGGACCCCAGGAGAGTACCTGAGATGGCTTTAGCAATCCTTTAGCACCTATCGCAACACCAAATCTCAAAAGCCCGATTTCTCATCCTCCTGGTCATCGTCCGTTCCTTCCCTCCTCCTTTTCCGCCTCCTGCCTCCTCCTCCTCCTCCTTATCTTCCTCGTGCCGCATTCCTCCTCCTCTTCTTCCCCCTCCTCTTCCTCCTTCTCTTCTTTTATAGCTGAGCATGGCTCAAGATAGCCTCCGACAGCCTCTAACCGACTATGGCTCAAGATAGCCTCCAAGGGGCCTCAAGAAAACCCCCGATTGTGTCTGGATGGGCTGGTGGGGATACTTTTTGGTACGCGGGCGCGCGAAGACGAGTCGAACGCCGTGCACGCTAAGGCGGGCCGCGCCGAAGCAAAGAAAAAACGCCAGGTGGGGATTTTCGTCGCGGCCGCAAGCGGAAGCGCAGGCGGCGTCCGAAGTCAGCCCGGGCAACGAGCCAAACCTAACTACCTAAGCGCGCGAACTGACGGCCGCCGAAACTGCCGCCGAGGGGCGACGCCGGGGACTGACGGCAGAGCTGCAAGAGGTGCCAGGTGTGCCAGGCGGCTGAAGTGCAACCATTCCAGGGGCGAGACCACGGGGAAGGCAAACGAATTGTACCTTGTCGCGCCAGGCGCCAAAGGTAAACGAACCACCCGAGCAAAACACGGCATAGCGTGGGGCTGAGCACGCAGCTCAGAGTACCTGTGTCGCATAACAGTGGCAACCTCAGGTGGTCGAACAAGAAAGCTAAACCACTCATGAGTAATCCACGTGGAAGTGCATCCCACCATTGCAGGGCGGCAGCTGCAAACACGGCCAGGCTGTGGCAGTGTCTGGGGACCAGGGGCCAGGAACGTGCGAGCATGCTAGCTGGAGCTGGTCGACGTGCAAGTCACCGGGACGCCAGGGTTACCCCACCAGGCTCAAAAGAACCAGCGCGGACACCGACAGACGCCAGGGACTGAGGGCGAGAGCCCGGGAACCGCAACCAGGCTGTGGTCAGCGGCAGGGCGGCGGTGGCCAGGGGGGGCCAGGCGGCGCCAAGAGGGGCGGCAGCTGGTGGGGATACTTTTTTTGGTCGCGGCCGCAGGCGAGAGCGCAAGCGGCGAGTCGTAAGTCCGGGGCGCGGGCCTACTAATTGACAACAAATGTTGGTGGGGATACTTTTTTGGTCGGCGGCCGCGCGACAACGGTCTGGCGGCGAGAGGCAATTTCCGGGGCGGGCGGCACAAAGCTAATTGCAAACTGGTGGGGATATTTTTTTTTGGTCGGCGGCTCCGAGGCAGCGGTCAGGGAGCGGAAGGCGTCGTCTGGGCCAGCAGGCGAAGCTAATTAGCTACAACAGGCAACGCACCTGCAGTAATAATTCGCAAAAAAATGCGAGGTGTGCACATGCACTGAGCAAAATGCTCCGCATTAAGGCGAACGCATCTAGGCGCCAGCCACACCGAAGTGAAGCAGACCGCAGTGCAGTGCAACGGAGAAGTCGCCCTGTCGGCGCCACGCTCCGAGCAGCCCACCTAGCCGAAAGCGGACAGGTATAACCGAAGCGACACGCTGAAGGATGAACCACTCAGCGCGAAGTCCGTACCACCGCCGTACGCGGGGTCGGCTAAGACAGGGGCAGAGGAAAGGCAGGGACCTACAGAGCTCTCACTCCACGATCCACACCGCTGCCGGGGGGGGGGGGGCCGGTGTGTCAGCCATCGTTTCCGAAACCAATCACAGGCCAGGAAGCAACGATGAAAGAGGACACGCAGGCCCAAGCGCCAGTACTGCCGTCTAGCGGGTAAACTGGTGGGGATACGCGAAGCGTCACGGACTTGCTCGGCGTTCAGCGTCGAGAATTTGCTCGGCGTTCAGGCCCCCCCTGCGAAGCGCGTCGAGGCAGCTGGACCCTGGCGGCAGTGAATTCGCTGAGTCATCTACCATAACAAGGAAGAGCATGGTATCGAATGGCTCGAAATCCTCGACTCTGCCGCCATGTCCTTCACTGACTGGTCCAACTTCACCCAGTGAACCGCTTCTGCAGCATGCGTGTGCACTGCTGCATTGCTGCCGATGTGCAGATCATTCCTCAAGTGCGCAGCAAGTGTGCACGGCTGTAAGCACGGAAGCATCCACGGCCTCACGATGGCCCAAAGGCCCATTGTGGCCTTGACGACCTGGTCAGCTCTTCTCGGGTCGTGCGTCCACAACATTCCGAGCGGGCTGAAGATTTCATCCTCTAATCTCCGAACTGGCACACGTTCGCACCCGAGACCCACACCACGTCATCATTCTCTTCTAGAGCCAGGTGGCGAATACCGTACAACTTGTGTGTGCCCCATGATTTGGTTCATTCCCACTGCTCTGTAGCGCCCAGTCGATTCCAGAGCTGCAGAAATATTGGCCTTGCGCTGTGTGCTCGTCATGTTGCCATCCTCTGCGGGAGCTATCTTCTCCAAGGCCACCGCCCGGCTGGCCAACGCCATCATTTATACATTGATAGAATTTCCCAACCCACTGGGCCAACGGCGTGTTCGATCTTGGAAGAGGCTGAAGTCAAGCTGCGTGGTTGATTTGTTGTTTTCCTAGTCTGCGCTCGCAGGAGCGCCCCTGGAGATCTGCGGACCTAAGTGTCGCCCAAGTCGCCGCAAGGGCGGGCGAAAACTCTCCAATCGTGTGAGCCCATGGGTGTAAGGCCTCATGCTGGCCCCATGCCGGCCCGTGATGCCACTGAGATGGCTCCAACATGGCCCAAGAGGGTCCAAGCTAGCCAAGCGGACTCCAAGACTACCCCAAATGGCGAATACCTGTTGTCGGAGGCTCCCTAATATGATACACCTGATCGCGCCTTGATAGCGACGACGAAATTGGCGACGGCGATGATGATACTGCTGCTGCTGATGATGAGGGTGATGATGATGATGATGATGATGATGATGATGATGATGATGAGGATGATGACGATGGTGATGATGCTGCTGCTGCTGATAATGGTGGTGGTGATGATGGTCGCGGCGTTGGTGGCGAGGGTGACACCAACGACGAGGACGAGGACGATGACGACTCTGGTGATGATGACGACGACGATGGTGATTGTGATGGTGACTCTGATGATGATGGCGATGACAATATTGACACTGGCGACGATATGTAGTCGCAACGCGATGTCAGCGTTCGAGTCAGTGTGCGGAATTCCGCACAGAGCAGCGCTTGTGGCTCCCAACATAAATCGAAAATCGTGATGGCACGTTGGCCACGCCGAACTACCGAAGCGGACCCACGCGGCTGAAATACATAAGAACGGTACGCCTACACCATCCACCCAACATTTGTTTACCTTGCCCAGCCAAACTTTGTCCAGCCAGGTAGGAGGCGATGATGCAATCAGTGCTGGATTTGGTATTCGCAAATGATGTGCCCCCAGCAGAGGCGTTGCGCCTGAGATCATCACGCACATGCTTGCGACTTGGCTACCATCGGACCTACGACAGAAGAACATCCTTCAAGAACACGAGGCCCTCCGCCGACCCTCCCCCAGGATGCACAAGACCATCCAACAAACACGAAGAACATTAGGGTGCCCTCCCCGAACCGACCTCGATCTTATATCTCGGTCCGGCTGTAACGAAAGGGCAGCTCGCGCAAGAGCAGAGACTGGCAGTGCTTGGGATAGCTGCTTCGATCACTCACGAGCGTCCAACCCCGGACGAGGCACATTCCAACACTCACTGCACTGAATCAACATGCCAACGGCGGGGACGAAACGTAATTACTCTGGTCCTCGCAAAACAAATTGTCATCCTCTGTCCATCCATCCGCTAGCGGGCTCACGTCGAGGATGTCGCAGAAATGTTTGTAGAACCTGACACGGCTGTGCACGCGATAATCACACTTACCCAGGCCAGCGCCCCCACACTCGAGCCCTCCGTTGATGACATTAGTTGCCCAACCAAGCCCGTATTGGCGGCCCGCGCTGGTGTCGCTGGCGCACATCTCATTTTTCCCCAAGAAGACGTCGTGGCAACTGGGCTTGCAACTGTCTCCTGGGAGGCAAGCGCCTCCCGTGAACCAAAACCACATGGACGATGCCCAAGCCAGCGTGGGGTTGGAAGCCACCCAGTCGGGATTCTCCAACAACACACTCTTGTCGCCGCAGAATTGTTCGCTAAACTGGCCATAGTTGTAATTCCAAGACAACTGCTTGGGGCCACGCCCAGTGTACTCCTTCCCAGCCGTGCAAGGGTACTCGGAGCTCGCGGAACAATACGTGTTTCCTGCCGCCTCTTCAACGAAGCAGAGACCCCAGGCGGCGCAGCCGCCTCCAGGCGAATCGTCGCACCACATGGGGCCGCAAGAGCATGTGCCGTCCTCGTTCTCCTGCGACAGCAGACAGCCGCCACCCGTCGTCTCCTGCGACATCTCTCCGAGCCATGCAGCCAACTCGCGCTTGTTATCTCCTTCGCTGGACGAGGTGGCAAAATCTGGATACAGCAGAGTGGCCTTGATTAAACACTCGTATTGCAACATCTCGCAACCTCTGCACGAGGAGCTGCAGATGTTCGGAAACATTTCGTCGAAGAGATCCCGTGTGAACCAGCTCGAGATGCCTTCCCCCGGGGTGAAGTCGCACGAAGGCCCGACCGCAGTGCAGACACCACCGCCCGTCGTTGGCGACAAAGTGGGCAACGGCGTGGAGAGACCCGCCGTGATGGGCGTGGGGGTAGCAGGCGTCGAGGCGGGCACTCCATCTGCACACTGGCAGAGGTCGCTGCTCCAAACACCGTCTAAATAACATGGCCACCACGACTGCGATGTTCCGACGCAAGCGGCACACTCGTCATCCGTGATGGCTTCGTCCCGGATGTTATCCTGGACCGCTGCGCAATTGGAGCAACCCACAGTGCAGAGCTCGGCCGCCGACTCCGGTGCCTGCGTTGGCGCGACAGATGGCGCCCGAATGGGCGCCACAGAAGGTGCGGCAATCGGGGATCCTGTCGGCGCCTCAGTCGGAGCGTCCGTCGACTCCGGTGCCTGCGTTGGCGCGACAGATGGCGCCCGAATGGGCGCCACAGAAGGTGCCACAGTCGGAGATCCAGTTGGCGCCTCAGTCGGGGCGTCTGTTGACAGTCGGAGCGCCACTTGTCCCGAATCAGTGCCGCAACCGTGGAGCGCCGCGGTGATGCTCGCTAGCAGGACTGCCACTGGCACGTGGACCGCTCTGAGTGTCATCGGTTCAAGTCTACGCCGCCGAACAGGCTCTGATAACGCAAGCTTGACTGCGCTGCGGGCTCGAGCTCAAGCAGCTACGGAGGTGACGCTGGCGATGATGATGATGATGATGATGATGATGATGATGATGATGATGATGATGATGATGATGATGATGATGATGATGATGATAATGATGATGATGATGATGATGATGATGATGATGATGATGATGATAATGATGATGATGATAATGATGATGATAATCCAACCAGCCCTCTGGGCGTCGGTGGTTTAGAGCGTTTCCTCTTCCACCCCTCCTTCTTCCCCTTCGGGGAGGGGTTTATCTCTCCCCCTACTCCCTCCCCTGGACCTGGACGGGGGGTTCCGCGAGGTGTCGGAGCGTCCAAAACGGCCTCGGCGAGGAAGCCAAAATCATGGGTTTTACTATGGTTTTGGCCCCATTTTGGCCTCTTGGGGGGGGGACGCTAATTAGTACCCCCCCCTCCTGTGATCGATCTCACCCAAGATGGCCCAAAGATGGCCCCCAAGGCTCCCAAGGGTGCCCCAAGGGGGCCGCAAGAGGTGGCCAGGAAGCCTCAAGAGGCCCCCAGGATGCTCCCAAGAGGCTCCGAAGAGATCCCCAAAGACCCCCCAGATGCACCCAAGATGCTCAGAGGCCTCGGCGAGAACGCCAAATCATTGATTTTACAAAAGGTTTTAGCCACATGTTGGCCTGTTGGGGGGGGCACTGCTTCAGATGACTCCAAGAGCGCCTGGGACAGCCCACAATGACCTCTAAGATGGCTCAAGATATCCCAAGATGTCTCATAATGGCTTCCTCTGTGTGCTGCCCACTTCCCTGATCGAGCCAATTCCTCAGGGCATCGTTTCTGGTTGGGGTGGTGGGGATTCGCGAAGCGCAACCTGCTGCTGCTGCTGCTGATGATGATGATGATGATGATGATGATGATGATGATGATTATTATGATGTTGATGATGATGATGCTGATGCTGATGATGATGATGATGTTCATGCTGATGCTGGTGCTGATGATGATGATGACAACGATGATGCTGCTGTTGATGATGATGACGATTATGTTGATGATGACGGCGGTTATGCTGCTGCTACTGATGCTGCTGCTGATGATGATGAAGATGATGATGAGGGCATGCGCGCACGCTGGGTCTTTGAGTATATTGGTTTAAGCGGGAGCTGCTTGCCGTATATGCTTTTAAGCACTGGTTTCCACATGCGTTCAGCATGCGTTCCACATGCGTTCAGTACTGGTTTTACAATGCGTTCCACATGCGCATGCGACGATGCGCGCGTGTGGTCTCCACGATCTCATTTGATTGAATCGTTGGGTTCGCGAAACTGTTGCATGATGCCGACATGCGCGCGCGTTTGGCTCGCACGGCCCCATCTGACATAGTGGTACACGTCACATGGCTTCTTATGATGTCAGCGAATGCGCGCACAGAAACCTATATGCGGTTCAAAAAAACAGCGGCTCCGCAAAACGCGACTGTCGTAAGGCGTCTCAGTTCTTTGGCGAATAGCAGTTCTGATACCAAATAACGAAAGAGGGCGCCGCTAGCATGCCGTGCCCCGCCTGGATCCTATAGACGAGCGCGTTCCACTACTCGCAACGTGGCTACTCGCAAATGGCCTGGATCCCCCGCGGAGGATCTACGATAAATTGCATCACAGCAGACACGTGTTTTCTCGGACGTTTGCGAGTAGGCACTTTGCGAGTAGGCGAGCACGCTAGGTGATCCTGGACTGCGGAAAAGCGCAGCCCGCGTGCCGTGCCGCGTGCGCGTCTCGCCTGCGTGCGAGCATGCGAGCAAGGTGCTGCGCCGTGCCCGCGTGCCGTGCCCGCGTGCCGTGCGCGCCCGATGCCCCACGGCGCGAAACAGAGCCGCCCGCGTGCCGTGCCTCGCCCGGATCTCGGACCCCCCCCCGCGGCCCACCTCCAGGCCCATGGGGTCCGAGCAGATGGGGTCGGAGGATCGCGCCGCCTCGCCGATGCATCGGCGATGCGGCTCGATGCGGAGCCCGATTTACTTCGCGTCGACGTCGCCGATGCATCGCCGACGTCGACGATGCATCGGTGGTGCATCGGCGATGCGGCGCGATCCTCCGACCCCATCTACTCCGACCCCATCTATGAGGCCTCCAGGTGCCTCCTACGGGAGGGTGCTCGAGAAAGGCCCGCTGCCGCGGCGACAGCGCCTGCGGCCACCGCCCCCGGCCCGCGGCGGCAGGCCCGACAGGCCGCCGAGAAGCGCGTGCAAAGGACGGCACTGCATTCGGCGGGACGTGCCCGCAGGGCAGGGGGGTGGGCGCCCCCAGCGCGATCTCGCGCACGAGGCAGCCATCCAGCGCAGCAGTGCTAGCGTCCGCAGGCGCAGAAAGAGGGGATCGGGCCAACCCTCTTCACGCCCTTCCGCTTTTGGACTCCCCCTCGCCAAACTCCTCCTCACATCCCCCTCCATCATGGGGGGAACAAATTACCCATCACGCTGCTCCACGTACAGCTCCCGGGATGCTTTCTGACCAGAGTTTCGAGGCGAGGAGGCCCGAAGAGGCGAAAAGGAGGCAAGGGCAGCGGGTACCTTTTTCCACCACTGACCTTCTTCCTCCCCTCTGCGACGACGACGACGACGACGACAACGACGAGGACAACAACAGACAACAAGGGACGACCAAGTTTGGACCCCTCCCGAGGTCCAAACGCACTAGTTTTCCAAGCTGCGTCCAGCCCTGGCGACGAGGGCCCCCCGAAGGCCAACCGCTGTGGTCTCAATTCGCCCTCCTCTGATCATGGTCTCTCCTTCGGTACGCCCGTAATGGCTACATAGCGAATCGGTATGATACCCAAAAGCAAATGCTGTCAAAAACCGACAATGGCCGCTGTTGGGCAGGCTAGCGGCCAGTTTGTGTATGTAACGGACAAATCCAACGGCGACGCAGACAGCGAATCCTTCTCAAAATGGGAAAGAGCTGCTGTTGGCCTTCGTCCCATGATTTCCGTACCCACTCCGGTCGTACCCGTTCTGGTTCGTACCGATTCTTTCCAATTACCGTGGTCTCAACTCGCCTTCCTCTGACCACATGCACCCTCCGAGGAAAAAAGACACAGTCGGCCCGTATCATAAGGATGCGCGATAAGGATGCAAGGGCCTTGGACGCCCATTTCGAAGCTTTTCGAGCGGAGCGCGGCCAACGAAAGTGGCCAAGGATGGACCGAGGAGGCAAGGATACAGGGGTACCCTTGAGAAGGATGCCCATCCTTACTATGCGGGTTGACTGTAGGACAAAGGAGACCAGACCCCCGACGTCGCGCCGTCTGTCGCAGCGCAACGTCCCCGGACGTCTCGACCCTTTCCCCGGCACGGCCCCGAGGCCCGCCGGGGGCTCCCCCCCCCGAGGCCGCAAACACGACGAAAGGCCTTTCGTCATTGAAGGGGCCCTGGGACACACAAATAAATACACACAAATGACAGGCTTCCCCCACATTTTCTCATATTTTCTGGGCTCTCGTCTTCCCCCCAACACTTCCTATATTCTCCCATGTTTTCCTGGGGATCGACGATTAAATGTGTGTGTGTGTTTCTTTCCCTCCTGAGTCGTAGTCGTAACTCTTTGCCTCAGCTCGCTCTCGCTCCTCCGAGGGACAGCGGTTGGGCGGGGCCGGCATAAGGGGGGACAAAGTCGACGCGGAATCGGCGATTCCTCGCCGACACGTCGGCGACGGGCCTCCGAGGGTGTGCCCGCACGTTCCTCGGCAGGCTGGGGCCCTCGGGCCCCTATCGGCGATCAATGGGCGATTGGGGGTCGATGCGTCCCCCCTGTATGCCCATCCCTCCCTATCGTTGCCCCTGATCCTCCCTGGCGACGACGACGACGACGAGGACGACAACAGCGGGACGACGAGCCGGCGGCGACGACGGCCGTCGCCCGCGGCGGCGGTGGCCTCGTCGCCGAGCCCGCGCTCGGCGGCCAGGCGCAGCGTGTCCGCGGCGGCCTCCGGCAGCTGCAGCCGCATCTCCGCGCGCGCCTTCTGGAAGAGCGCCTCGCCGCCGCGAGGCTCGCGGGCTCAAAGTCCGGGGCCCCCAAAAGGCTTCCAGGAAGCCCCTAGAAGCCACAAGACGGTCTCAAGAGTCTTTCTTTTCCTCCTCCTCTTCCTCCTGCTTCTCCTCCTCCTGCTCCTCCTGTTCTCAGTGGCCACATGTGAACCCTGCCCCCGCCCCCCACGATTTCTAAAGGGGGGATGGGGGTTCACTTCGTTCGGGAGCTCCCGAGCGGAATGACCCCCCCCGCTTCGAAATCGTGTGGGGTGGGAGTAGGAATCACATGCACCTATCCTCCTTCTCCTCCCTCCCACCCTCCTTTCTCGGGGATCGAGGCTCGAGCTGACGTTTTTGTGGGTCCTCGGCGACTGTCCAGCCTTGGGGTGCCTTCTGGCAGCTGCGCCTCGCCGAGGGCGTTCTGGGGGTGCCCGGGTCGTCCCGAACGTCCACTGGGGAACCGAGTTATGGCCCAACATCAACCATGCGTCCGAGAGGGGGCGAGTTGACAACCGCTGGTGACGCGACGGGGGGACGGAGCGGCGCATTCTTGATTAACCGTGGTGAATCTTTAATGCTGCGGGGGACCCCCCTGAGCTCTCGGCTGGCAATTCAAATCGTTCTTCCCCTCATCATCCTTCCCCTCCTCCTCCTCCTCCTCCTCCTCCTCCTCCTCCTCCTCCTCTTCCTCATCATCAGCATCATCGTCATCCTCATCATCATCATCCTCATCATCATCATCACCACCATCATCATTTATCTTCACACCACCAACATCATCATCACCCTCATCATCATCAGCATCATCACCATCACCGTCATCACCACCACCATCACCCTCATCAACATCATCACCATCATCACCATCATCATCATCAGCATCATCACCGTCACCACCACCCTTACCCTCCTCACCATCATAATCATCACCACCATCATTATCATCATCATCATCATCATCATCATCATACTCATACTCATCATCATCTTCCTCCTCCTCCTCACCATCAGCATCACCATCACCATCATCATCATCATCATCATCGTCGGCACCACCATCATCATCACCATCATCATCATCATCGTCGTCGTCGTCACCATCATCGTCATCATCATCGTCACCGTCATCACCATCATCGTCGTCACCATCATCATCATCACCATCATCATCATCACCACCACCACCACCACCATCACCATCATCATCATCATCATCATCATCATCATCATCATCATCATCGCCATCATCGCCATCATCGCCATCATCGCCATCACCACCATCATCATCATCATCGCTATCGTCATCATCAACGCTATCGCCATCGCCATCATCAA